GGCACTGTTCCAATATCTCTGGTCTTAAACCTTTGGGCGCATACAACTTGGGCCTGACTTCTTCATCCCTACCTGAGAGATAATACAGCCTTTCCTCTATTATTGCATACTTGGTGGTCTCTCCTGCCTCCACCTTTTCTCTAAGGGCAGCTATTTCACTGTCTGTCTGCTCCTTCTCAATTCCTTCGGTCCAGTAGGGATTGGTTATTATCTGTGCGTCCCCTTCCTCGTCCGATTCTAACATAGGGCTGTCTTTTAGCTTATTAGAGTTAATTACTCCGTTTCTATAGGCTTTATCATCTACTCCCTGCTCTACTTTGACAGATCTTTCTTCCAGTTGTTTCGGTATTCTTGAAAGTAAATCTGCACACGTGTTTTCCTTCCCTGCCATGTGGTAGCCACTTAACTTGAGTGCCCACTGTTGAATCTTATTATTATTTGTCCATTCTGCCTGCAATAGGTACTGCAGAGGCTTGTGGTCTGTCTTTATAGTAAAGTCCGCGCCATTCAAGTAGTAATCCAGTTTTTGGAGAGCATACATGATAGCATATGCTTCTCTTTCTATTACTGGCCATCTCTGTTGTGTCTCTGAGAGCTTATGAGAGAAAAAGTATATCGGTAGCTCCTCCGGTATGCCTGGCACTGGTCCTTCTTTATCGGGATACGGCTGGGTGAGACCTGCTCCTAGACACTGCTCACTGGCATCAGTGTATAGTAGCATGGGCTTGCTGAGGTCTTGGTACGTCAGCAGTGGAATGGCTGTCAACAGTTCTTTCAAGGTATCAAATACCCGTTGACAGTCTTCTGTCCACTTGAACCTATCGTATTTCTTCTTCAGGTCTACTAGGGGTATGGCAATTCTCGAGAATACCGGGACGAATCGTTGGTAGTACCCTGTAGCTCCGATAAACCCTCTTACTTGTCTCACTGTCTTAGGTTCTGGCATTTCCCTTATGACTTTGACCTTATCCATGTCGGGTTTAATACCGTCTCCTTTTATAACAAAGCCCAAATATCTAGTATCCTCCTTCAGAAACTGACATTTCGATAATTTCAATTTTAAGCCGTGCTTTCTTAACCTTCCCAACACTTGTTTTAGATGAAAAAAATGTTGTTCTACTGTTTCTGAAAATATCAAAATATCATCTAAATATGCCATGGTAAAGCTCTCGCATCCTCCTAACACTATTGACATCAGCTGTTGGAAGATTCCCGGGGCATTGGCTAAACCGAATGGCATCACGCTGAACTGAAACAGTCCCAGGTGACACGCAAATGCGGCCTTTTACTTGTCAGCCTCATCAAGCGCTACCTGCTTTTACCCGGACCTCAAGTCCAACGTAGAGAAGTACTTCGCTTTCCCTAATAATGCCAATATGTCATCTATTAGTGGCAATGGCACCGCCAACGGCTTCAATATAGAATTCAGTTTCCTAAAATCTACACAAAAACTGTGCCCGCCAAGAAAGCCTATCACAATTGGAAAACTCCAAGGGGAAATCGATCTTTCTATCATCCCAGCTTCCAATATCTCTTCTACTGCCTCTTCCACAAGGGGTCTCTTATGAATAGGTGTTCTATAAGACTTCAATTTCACAGGGTGGGGGTGGTTCGCCGGTGTCGATTTTCATTTTTACTGTGTGGGTCTGGCCTAATTCCTTATCTGATTTGGCCACCACATCTCGATTATTTCTTAGCAGACTTCCCACTCTGAACCTAAATTGATCAGGTGCCAATATCTCTTCGTCTACTATTCCTTCTGGTCGTTCTACGTGTTTTCCTTGCTTCTCCTCGAATTTCACTCGATTCAGAGTTCGTAGGAGTAATGCTTTTCCTATCTCTTCCCCTCTCTTAATCTTTATCGTCTTTTGGGTCTGGTTCACCATCATAATGGGCACTAATTCAGCTGCCTCCACTATTGACTCACACAGAGTTACCTCATTCTCTTCTAGGCCCTTCCCTTCTACAGGGACCAATTGCAGGGTTTCTTTTTCTCTTCCCTGTCATCAGCCTAACTTTGCCCGACACCGCCGTTCTGGGGGGTAGCTTTATATCTTCCTCCACCACTATTGTTATAACCTCTTCCGGTTGGCATCCCAATGGCGTTCTCTCGGCATTTACTACCAGCACAGTGGGGTTGAACACTATCCGTGACCTCTGGCTCTGAAGCCAATCCTTTCCCAAGATTGCCTCCGTACACAGGTTGGGGGTTACGTAGAAGTTCTGGGTACTTTTCAATTTTCCAATCCTCACAGGGAGCCTCGCCATCCCTTTTATCTCCAGGGGGGTTCCATCTGCCTGTGTGATTTCTATGTCCGCTTCCGGCAACCCATTCTTCTGTTTCACCCTTCTGTATTCTTTTTTCTCTCAGCAAGGAAACAGACGCTCCTGTGTCTATCAGAGCTTTCATTGCCCTACCCCTTATTTTCTTGCGTCAGCGAAGAAAATATCTTGGCTTTCTTTTTCCTGGGTTCCCACCTTTGGGTCATCCCAGCCATAGGTGCCGGTAGCAACAAATTCCTTTCATTCTTCTCACATGGAGTAGTTCTTCGTTTTCTGCACCTGGGCGGTCCCGGCTGGACCTCTCCCAGTCTCTTGCGGCTGTTTCTAAGAGCAAAATTCCTCTTCAGGTGCCCTGGTCTCCTACAAAACCAGCACTGCTGGCTTTTTCATGGTTCTGTCTTTTGGGCACCCTTTCTTAATCCGCACCACTTGGCAAGGTGTCCCCTCTTCCCACACCTAGTACATTTGTCTTGCTCAAAGTCTGGGGGCAAACCCCACTTCGTCGGGCAGTCCGCTGCTCTGTGGTCCTCATATCCACATGTCCAACAGACCAGCCCGTATCGACCCGGCGTGGGATTATAGAACCCATGCCTTGTTGACCAAGCCTTTCTTTTGGGATCCTCCTCCCACATCTCAGGCTCCTCCACCTCAAGCTTTTCTCCCTCCTTCCCCCTTTCTTCCGACCTCTCGACTTAGCTCTTGTACCTTCCCACCTCTTTTCACCTTCTCCCAAACTCCCTGGCTCTCTTTGGCCGGCGCCATTGCTGTGGACAACCTTAGAGGTCCTTCTTTTAGAACATCGGGACAAATACGCTCGTCACTGAGCGCTTCTACATATAAGTCGGCCAACTGGGCTTGCATCACTGCATTGTTTCTTACTAACTCTGGGAAAGCCAACAACGATAGCTTCTCCACTTGGGCCCCAATTCTCCAGGGGTTTCGTCCCTCAGCTGCGCCATCATCAGGAGGGCTCTCATGGCCTCTATCGCTGTCCCCTCGTCAGCGAATTCCCGAGTCAATAACTCTTCTAGTCTTTCCCATGTTAAGTTGGGCTCACTGGCTAAGACTCATTCTATGAACTCTGACGCTTTCCCTCTTGTGGCATCATACGCCAAGATAGAGTTTCCTGGTCTGAGAGTCCATATTTTACGCGGCTCTTATCCAAGCCACTTCCTCAAATTCTTTGAACTACCGTCAAAGCCTGGGACCCTCGGTCTAACCAATAATTTTCTCAGGTCTACTGACAATTCCTGTTCAACCCCTCTTCCTCTATGTCTACCCTATCTGGATCGCAGCCAGACATCGTTAAAACAAAAAAAGTAACACAATCAGAGCAGCAACAATAGAAATTGGGAGATTAACCGAAAATAAATTGTCCTACCTGACAGACGATTTCCAGCTCGTTCTTCTCAGGTTCCGGGCTGTCGTACTACAGTGTCTGAAACCGTATGGTCATAGTTAACCAAAGTTCTTTGGTTCCCACTCTAGGCTGTTTCAGTTTGTGCAATTGAGACGCCGTGCGTTGTCCTGGTCGAAATTTTCTGCAACTCCTGTGGCAGCGGCTGATCCAGGGTCTTATCGTCCTGGTCTCGGCACCAAATGTGACGTCACCCTGGTCCTGCTCCTGTGCTATCCTGTGACGATCTAACCCTTGGCTGGTTCGGATGGAAATCTGGTTAGATTCGATATCAGCTTTGTCGTTCCCAGCTCGCTTCCAACGTCTGGTTACCGAAGTAACTGCCTTGATTTCTAGTCTAACCTACCCACGTTGTGATTTGATCGTAGATAGAGGAAATCAATCAGGTGTCGGGCCGTAGTGCAAGCTGAATCCGGGGCAAAGATGATACCGCACAAGTATATGTAAAAGAAAATAATGTAACTACTGTATGTGTTGTAAAAGAAATTATCAAGTATCTTTATATCTGTTTGCTGAATACAGGACTGCATCTTTCTCCCAAACCGCTTCTATGGATTCGTGACACTTTGCGTTTCTTAGGCGAGTCTTAATATCTTAAGTTGTTTTTCAATAAACTGATTTTTGGTATCTTCAGGCGATATTCGTAAAACTTGTTTTGGTGGTGTGAGTTTAAGTCGTTCTTCAAAAAAGAAAATTGTTTTTGGTTAGAAGTTTAAGTCGGAATGCGTGGAAATCTTTTAGTCAGCTCTTGCGAGGCTAGTCTTAGAGCTCACAGCTCAACTGCAAGTCAACTCTGTGACTTCAACTGTCGCCAACTGTCAGTTTACTCTGGGGACGTTCGTTTATATGGACGCCGACCAAAACCGGGTGGGGGCCTGTCGTGGTTTGGGTTCCTCGATAATTCCAATATAATAATAAGGATTTGCTTTGTTTTCGGACAGGAAAATTTATCACTTCCCATTTTTGGAAGTCAATTACTTTCTGTTTTAGAGGGGTTCTTCGCCCATCGCTCACGTCAATGACCGCTCGGTAGTGTGGTGTGGCTAGACTGGCCTCAGTTTACAATTATCGCTCAAAGAAAAAAACATTATCTTCCCTTTTCTTTTCTTTCTTTTCCATCAACCAGAATTCTTATGAATCGTACTGTGGACATTAAATTTTTTATCTTAACTTGATGTCATCTGGAATTCATTAATGGGATTTTCGCCGACTTATTATCTGGGTGATCAACTAAATATCTTTGTCTTTCTCAACACTATAGCATTCTGTCGCCAACATCTTGTCCAGGTAACAAACTTTTATCATGACAAGTTCTGGACATACAAGAGATTGTTCTCCTTCCAAAACCAAATGATATCTCCGAAAGATAGTTAATGGCTTATTCTTTTTCTTTTTCTCTTTCCCCTTTTCCTCCCTTTTTGCTTTGGGGTGGTCTCACCTAATTCTTTCTCGGTCGCATGCTTGACCCAGTTTTCGATTATCTTCTAGCACTCTGCTTTGTAAGCCTCTTGACCAAACTGAAATTTCCATTATTGCTATGGGCAGATTGTTATCTTTTACCCGTATTCTGTTTTTCCTTGTCGCGTCATGGCATAAGTTAATTCTGACAGATCCGAGATCTTACGAATTTTCTATCTTCTGCGAAAAAAAAATACCTTTTTTCGCAAATGAAAATAAAATATTTACCCATTTTTCTTTTGTTAAAAAAAATAACTTCGTTCAGTATGTCTTTCGTTATAGCTTTTTCTCGCCTTAAGTATTTCTCGCTTTTCATTTCCATGCTTAATTAGTTAGCCAATTACCATAGCTAAATAGTGTCACAGACTATATATAATTCAAATTATAATTTTTATAATATTATTTACGACTTTAGGAAAGTATAGAATTAGATTAAAGTAAAAATATAGAATTTGATTAAAATAAAATTAAAATAAACATTTATAATAAAATATATTAAGATGTGTAACGAATATGTACTTTAATATATATATGATTTTCTTTAAGTATTATTTTTAAGTATTATTTTAACTCCAAAAAACTCGCTTGTTGATTAAATGAAGTGGACCTGATATCAGAACTGATTCAATAATTCTTCTAGATGTATAATGATGAATAAATTTAACAATTTTGGTGTTTTTAAAATCGATAGTATGGATTGTATTTTTTGTATATGGGAGAATTACAATTATATGTATCCCTGAATTTTATAGCTAATTCGTCTTCATAGATTTTTTGAAACGTCATTACATTTCACCAATATAAATTTTTGCCACATTTAATGCATTGAATCATGTGTACACACACACACACACACACACACACACACATATATATATATATATATATATATATATATATATATATATATATATATATATATATTCGCTTCCAGTGTCTTATATGCACGAGTTTGTCATTTTTAAACAGAAACATCACAGTTTTGTCCGTGTATTGCTTAATATATATAATGTAATTGTCATCTTCGAAAGCTTAGATAGGATTAAAAAATATGTAGCAATATTGTGATTTTCTTTCTTCGTTTAATGATAATGTTAAGCTTATCAGTTAAGCGGTTAATACAAGCAATATAATTTGACCCAAATAAATAAACCAACGACTTCCGGTAAAATAACCGCCATAATAGAATACCCACAATGCACCACTAACCCGCATATATATAAATAGCAGAGGAAAATAACAGCATATGTGGCCTGACGATTGCATATAGCATGAAACAGAGTGTCGCCTCTCAGTGTTGACTTCTATGTTCACTTTTATATATATATATATATATATATATATATATATATATATGAAAAATTAATGGATTTATATTTAATCGTACATTTTTGCTACTTGAAATTTTCTTATATTCGATACTCTTATTTGAAATAGGGGCCCCATATTTTTTTTTTAATTTAGTATGTATTATTTCTATCTTCCTGCGTATTGGAGAAATATTAATAAAGATAAATACATAGACCAATATACGTAAGAATTAATTTCTGGTGGAGGGCACATTTTCTTAAAAGTTTTCTCGAATACGGAGGCCGAAATACATAATACACACTGTTTAAGTAAAAACTATGGCGTCTATTAAATTACGAGTGTCCACTATACTCTTTAATATAATATATATATTTTGTCTGTATATACTAGTTGATGTATTATTTGACATACATACATAAATATACAGTGGCCAACCAAGAGTCCTGATTAACAACCTCTGACTTTTTTTCTTTCGGTTTGATTAAAGAAGCAAGTCTACTATACGAAACAAAATCTATGTAAGAATTTGAAGCGTGAATACAAGGAATTGTATTTTCCATAATACAAGAATTCCTGGTGAAATCAGTTGACGCGTTTCCTAGGCGGCTCGAGAAGCTGGTACTGAAATCTGGTGCCCATATTGAGCATTAATCAACATCTCATGCTAAACGCTTTCCTCTCGTATTCATTTCTTGTAAAGATTATAGTTAATAAATAAATTATAAGTATTTTAAAATGGGAAGTTACTTTTGAATCACCCATATATATATATATATATATATATATATATATATATATATATAAAACTTTTCAAACTTATTTTATTCCAGCTCTTATCTGATGAGATTATATCACTAGAGGTAGTTATAAAAAGATCCAATCCTGTAACAGCAGAAAATATATTCATTTCTTTCCTACAAGTTAATGAGAATTAACGTTTTTGTATTTCCTTTTTGCTTTTCCTTAACCTGTTTCAACAGACGTTAATTGGTTTATTTATAATTTTGCTGTCTACTGTTTTGCCCGGTTCT